ATGTCCTTACCGTTATACAAATGGCTCACATATACCCCTGCCGTTACAAAATGAGCTCACACATATCCTTCATTTAACGGAAGTTAAAAAAACAGTTTTAAGTTTATATTTTTACTTTTAATTTTTTTAAATTATTTATGGGTATATATGATTCTTCTATCAAAGTTCAAGGTATGTTTTAATTTTTTTCATACATAAATTATTTGTTGAGTTCTTAAAATAATTTTTTGAGTTTCTTATTCTTATTTTATATTTTTTTCTTTCATTCCTTAGTTTAAAGAAAACAAATTTAAACTACTTTTATGTCTATATTGTAATTTAATTTTTGTATTTGAAAAAAAAATGGTCATTTATAATAAGCTCTACAAGAATATTAGTGAAACATAAATAAATTTGATTATCAAAATAATAATTCTAAATTAGTCATTGAAACAAAAATAAAGTAAAAAAATGTTTGACGAGGATTCAATTTACTTATATGGGATTATATTTTTTTAGAAAAAACTAACAAAAATTAGATTAAAATTAATTTTTTTCATTTCCGTTTGAGGGAAAGGGTATGTGTGAGTCATTTGTTTATAAGTAGGGGTATATATAAGTCATTTTCATAACAAATGGTATATCAGTTCTAAATGACAAAGTTGAGAGTTTTTTCCCTATATTTTAAAAGGAAAAAGGGTTAAAAATGCCCTTACACTATGAGAAAGGAACAAAAATTCTCCCAGTTTATAGTTTGACTCAAAATTGTCCTTACCGTCAATACTTTGGTTCAAAAACGCCCTTGCAATCAATACTATGGTTCTAAAATGCCCCTATAATTACTAAATAGGTCAAAAAGCCCTTTTCCGAACAACTATATTATTTTTTCTTTTAAAATACATTTTCTTCTTAATTAAATTATTATAAAAGAACCATGTTCTTGTTTTCTTTCTTTTAAAATCACTATAACAAATAAAAATGTAGGAATTTTTTTTTTCTTAATCTCATCTTATCAACTAAAATCGAATAATCAACATATAATATATGTCATATATACAAGATCATTGTATATCCATCATTAATTTATATAACGATAAAATATAATTATAATAAAATAGAAATATTTTTTATTTTTTATTTTTTCTGAATTGAAATAAGATAATCATTTGCTAATTTTAAAAAATATTATTAGAGATAGAATGTGTTAAAAAGAAAATAATAATATATTTATTTGAAAAAATGAGCAATTTTTATCCAAAATAACAATAAGGGCATTTTTGGACCAAAGAATTAACGGGAAGGGCATTTTTGGACAAAACTATAAATTTGAGGACATTTTTGTTCCTTTCTCATAATTTAAGGGCATTTTGACCCTTTGTCCTTTTTAAAAATATCTTTTAGAAAAGGATTCTGAAAAATAATAATTTATGTTTGACTAATTCATTTGAAATGTGTTTTTGATAAGCAAATTGCATCTGACTATTTTCTTTTAAAAAAAACTCTTGGGAGTAAAATTACAAAAAGAGTAAGTGCAATATATTTTTAATATTAAGATTAATTTATATAGAGAGAATATTTTAAAAGTCTATTACAAAATTTTTAATTAATTTTAATTTTTTAATCAATATCATGCATAAGATAAATAAAAATAATATTAACATGATGATTTAAATATAATTATAATATCGAACAAAATAAATTGAAAAATCATACCACAACTAAATCATTGCATACGAAAATTAATATTGTTTTTTGAAAACCATTCTACATAATTACTTATTTAAACTGGGTAAATTACTTGTGCTTCGCACAGGATTGAACTATTTTACTAATCTTACATATGATCATTGAGTAATATTCGTATTTTTGATACATGCACTACATTATCAAAAACATTTTATCTCAAGGCAATGCGTTCCTCCGAAATCTTAAAGTGCTATATTTTTTTTTAAAATGTTCATTTTTGTTATACAAAAATTATGAGTCATAGATAGATTTTATGTATAAAAAAAAAAAGTCTAAGAAAATCTCCCCGGAAATAGTTGGTCAAATGTAATGAAATTTTTTAAGTTATAAAGAACAACATCAAGTGTTAAAAAAAAGGTACCAAGAACGTCGAACAACAACACCCAAGTATAGTTGAACATAACGTCCATACAAAATCATAATTAACTATATTCAAATCGACGATCTTGGACTCCTTTCTTATGAAGTCTTATCAATCTCTTTTTTATTATTGTATGCTATATCAAGTATATGCTAAAAATGACTCTAAAATTGTTATTGTTATTGTCATAAATGAATATTTTTTGTGATTGTCTCAAAATAGTCATTACTATTTTAAAGGTTTCATATCACCGGCGCAACTTATTTGGATAAAATCATAGTTATTGTTATAGTTAAGGGAGCCACAAAAAATTATGCAATTATCAACAAGCAATATCTGAATGTTCACAACGAAATATACCAAACAAAATTTTTGACATATAACATATTAAAATCTCACAACATAATTTTGTGAGCTCTTGAACTCACAAGTATCAAAAAATAATAATAAAGACGATCTTACTTTTCTAACAATCAAGCATAAAAAGGTGTGTTGCTCAATATATTTTTTAAAAAGATAGTCTTTCGGATTGTTTTCAAATTTACAATTTACAAATTTAATTGAAAGAAATCAAAAGAAAGAGTTATTACTTCTTTATAAAAAATAAATAAATAAATAAAAAAATTTATCAAAAGAATGAGTTATCACTACAGAAAAAATGATCTTTAATGATGATTAATAGATTAATTATCACTAAATATGTATTTTCAGAGACAATTGGTACTCTGTATAAATGTCCCTAAAGTCTATAGCAACATTGAATCTAACGACAATTACTTAATGTCGATAAAGGTTGTAGCACTCTTCGTGAATGTACATATTTATTGCCGATAAAAAATATTTTTGATATAGTGTATTTTGGACATTTGTTAGTTTCACAAAAACTTGATCTATTATATGCCCAAAAAGATGAGAAGAAGAAATATGACAAATTAGTTAATTTGCTATAAAAGATATTAACTAATTGTCTCTATACAAATATTCTAGAAATAGTGCAATGACATACAAAATATTTGTACCCAAGAAAAAATAATCAAAATAATATAGTAATTGTTGCAAGCAAAAGAGCGATCATTTACCTTTTAACAAACTTTATCATTGGTTTTATATTAGTTATCAAATATCTGTTGTGCGTTATCAAATATAGCTCAACCCACAAGCAAATTTCTCAAAAAGTATATGAAGAAAATCTGTAGAAAGAGACAAAAGAAAATATAAAATTTTAAATCATCCTCGCTGAAATTTTGAACATAATTAAAAAAAACTCACCTAAATTGCAAAAAGGAGTTGCAATATGAATCACTACGACTTACAGTGAAAAATTAAGTTTCATGAAATAAAAGGAAGAAAACTTTGAGAAATGAAACACACTGCATAAGAAGCTTACTTAGTGTATTAGAATTTGAAAAAAACATACAAATAATAATGACAAATAAAAGAATAGTTCACTAAAGAACCAAATGTAATGGATTCAACCATTAACTATTCAACAACATATCACATTGCAAGTGAAATCTATTTTATTTGTTTATATGTAGAAACCTTTAGAAAGGAAAAAAAGAGAAGATCAATTTTCAATCATCATTGCTGCAACTTTAACAGAGTTAAAAAAAGTCCCCAAAATAGAAAAAAGAAATTGTCATAGTTACATAAATCACTATGACTTATAGTAAAGATTAAGCCTCATAAAAATTTTCAAGAATGAAATAAACTTTCTAAAAACTTAATTTTAATGTATTTGAATTTGACTACCCTATAGCGGGGAAAACCTAGAAATTATAGTTGCACAAAATTTCTCTATTTATAGACAACAAGGTAGGCGTTCGGTTCTTCAGTTCGGTTTAATCAAATTTCAGTTCGGTTCGTCGGTATTCAATTTTAGAAAAGTGTGCACCATAGTTTATACCAAGCTAGATCGGTTCAGTTCGATTTTTTCTTCTTCGATTCGGCTTAGTTCGGTGTTTTTAAATCGATTTTTTGATGTGAATAAAAATAAAGAGGAAATATGATAAATTGTTAAGTTTCATCATGTATTTAATAAAAATAAAGAGGGCATATATTATTTTTTAGCAAAGATGTCAAAGGAATTGTTTCTATTTCTTAGCATAGATGACTGCCATTTTGCTAAGCCTAAATGCTTTCTCTCATATGGGAATGCTGAATGAATAAAGAAGAGAGTAAACAGCCTACCAAACACGATGCCACGATGAACTTTCGAACAATCAAAATATAAGGACTTACAATGTACAATTGTACATGAACAACACAGTTCAACACTTTATTGACATTATATTTGTTGTCGTTTAAAAATTAAAAATTTAAATGAGTCACGTAAATATTTTGAGTCAAAATTCAAAAGTGTATAACTATTATTAATTAAGCAATATAATTTAAATATTTTTAAATTTAGTAAATAAAACTTTCCTTCTTCGGTGCATCGTAGTTTTGGGACCCTTGCACCGAACTCTGGACCGAAGAATCGAAAAAAGAAAATCGACACCGGATCAAAACAATGAAAAACAAAAATCGAAGAACCAAAATTTTTTGGTTCGGTTCGATTTTTCGATATTTATGCCACCCTACAACATAGGATAGTGTGAACAATGTTTATTGCGCCTTGTCAAAAATGTAATAACTCTTTGAAAAAGGTTATAAATTTTTCATAAAAATCGCAACTCTTCATAAAAGTCACAACTTTTTATAAAAATCACAAATTTTAATAAAAATGAAAAGTTAATTTTGAAAATAAATAAATTTAAATGAGAATATGATATATGACGGTGCCACATGGACAGACCTTGTTTTATATAAATATATAATATTAAATTGTGCAAAAAATATTATTGTTACCTTTATTTGTAATTTTGTAAAATATAAAATATAAATATTGTTTATGAAATGTTGGCCCATTAACCCGAAATGATTTGCCCCATTTTAGTCCAGGATCTAATCTGAGAATTGAAAGTTGTAGGGTTTTGAGGTAAGAGTTGGATTTGCAGGTAAAAGAAAAGGAAGAGGATGGGATTCATAATGGAATTTGCGGAGAACTTGGTACTGAGATTAATGGAGGACCCAAAGGAACGAGATCGCAAGTTTCGTGAACATGTGTATGCCACTAAGGCCAGGTGCGACAAGACTTTGGAGATGTGGAGTTATCCTCTCCGTCCCTATGGTTTCTGGACCTTTGATCGCCACAATGCTCAGAATTTCTGGGATCCTCAGATCAGCCAGGTCCAAGGCCGTCGTGATCCTTATGACGACCTCCTTCACCACCACAAATGAATCACTTTCAGGTCACCGACTCTCCATTTTCATTGCTACTCTTTTTTTTTCTTTCTGAAATTAAGGAATGAACCAATCTTCCTTTTGATAGTTTTAGATTGTAATCAAAAGGATAAGTTCATGTAAAGGTTGCTCACATACCTGACCTGTCCAGGCCTAATTCTTTAATAATCACTTAGTGACGTCGTCCTTACTATTTTTTAGTGTTTGATAAGTAAATAAGAGAATATTATCCCAATAACATCTAAAATTTATCTAGCAATACACGATGGGATGGGATGGGATGGGATGTGGGAGTGGGAGTAGGGGGTTCAAGGGTGCTTGGGTTTGGGATGGTCGGGGGATAGGGATTGAGTGGGTGGCAAGGAGACAATAAACTTGAAATGTCACTTATGAAACTTGTTTTCCCTACTTCCATTCGGGAAGTCATTTTCCTCATTACATTTCTCACCAACCATACATAGGAGTTGGAAACCAAACACACCATCTTCTACTTTTGTTTTTGTTTCTTTTATATAAAAGTTCCCACTATACTGGTTTGAGGATCATGCTGCAGTTTACTGAAAGAGAGACTTGTCAGATCTAGAATTCTAGACAGTTGATACCAAATTCATTGATTTGGTTTTCTGCAACCCAAAAAAAGAAGAGACTCAAAAAAGAACAGCACTTGTATCTTTCCTGTAGTGCATTCCTCTAAAGTTAAATTTCTTTTTACTCTCATGCACTAGCAAGATATTTTTCACCATTCCCACATTAAAGATTCTAAACTACTTGTATCCTGGAAATTTATGAAGAGCTTTATGTATTTATATCTACTTTCTACTGAAATATGGGCAAAGAGAGAGTGGTCGGTCTGACTCTTACCTGTCGAAGCCTGGAAATGCAAGTACTAAGTAGTTATTGCAAACTGTTGTATGACTGGCAAAGGAGATGCAAAGGTAACAGGAAAATAAAGAGCTGCATCAAAACAAAATAAAAACAAAGCTAGCTGCGCAAAAATTTGTGAACAGCCATAAAAGAAATCATCAAAATCTTACTATGCTAGAGTAGGGAACTAACAAATTCAAAAAAGTTATCCACACTGTTCACAGGGGAAAGAAAGTGCCAATTGTAGAGAGTAAATAAACATTTAGCCTTGAGGGTGCTAGTGTCAGTTGAGATTCCATCAAAGACTAAAAAATAACTGCTGGGACCATCCTCCATAGCCTTTTCAAAGTCTTGTTAATTCTCCAGCCTATCCAGTTAGCATAGGCATCTTTAATGGAGAAAGGCATAACCCATTGAAGACCAAACATAGAGTGGGAAAAATGCCAAAGTCAGTTGCTGTAGGGCAGTGTAAAAAGAGATGATTAACAATTTCTTTATCCTTCTCGCAGAGGTGGCATCTGTTGATGAGGATGATCCCCTTCTTTCTAAGATTATCTTGAGTTAGACAGACCTTATGAACGGCTATCCAGGTAAAACATGAAACCTTTAGAGGTTTTCTTGTCCTCCAGATGCGTTTCCAGGGAAAAACATCAAGGATGCCATTCCGTGAACACCAAAAATATAGCTCTCCTTCACAGTATAATTTCCTTCCTTGGTGTTGCCCCTTAATCTGTCTCTGGTTTGTTCATCTAGGTTGCATTCATCCAGAGTATGTAGTAGTGAGAGGACTTCATTGATCTCCCAGTCCTGCAAGTTCATTCTGAAAATTGCTCTAAATGTTGTCTACTCTGTATTGGGCAATTGCAGCATTCTTGTTAGTGGTTATCAGGTATAGTATAGGAAAGGATTCCTTCAGTCTAGTGTCACCAAACCATTTGTCTTGCCAAAATCTTATCTTGAGTCCATTAGCAGCTGTGAGAAACACCTGTAAAAAGTCATCTTGGAGATGTGTTTCCAGACGACCAGACCCCTACACCAAGTGTATCCTTGCCCCTCATTGGCCTCCAATGATCAAGAATGCCATGTTTGGCTTTGATTGTATTCCTGCAATACCCTGCCTCATTCTGTCCAAACCTCAAAAGCCACTTCAAAAGCACACTTCTGTTGTCTAGTTGTAGGTTGCTACTCATTAGTAGAGTTAACCTGAAACATTAGTAGAACCATAACAACCGGTGTTTGAAAGCTCACTACAAAGTAGACCTAAAATCAAATGGAATTAAGTTAGACCTAAAATCAAATGGAATTAAGTTAGATTTATATTTTGTAGGATTCCGTGCAAATCTAGCAAAAAAAAGTGCCTAAAAGGAAGCAAAAGATGCATTAGATGGTATCAACTAATTGGAACTAAGGTTTAGTGATGTTGCTACTCTTGCTCTAGGGTTCCCGTGTTTGTTAGTAGCTTTTTGATTTTCTTGGATGTGTGTGTCAATAGAAATGTTGAGAACCTCTAGTGTTAAAGAACCTCATTTTACCGAATATTATAAAGAATTGGGTCCAAATGGTCCATGGGATGTAATGATAATGAGGATTCGCATGGAAGACCTAACAAGGTTGTGATTTAGGCATCGTAGTAGTTCTATTAACTTATGATTGGCAAGCACATTAAAGTTCAAGTTTTGGTGTTACTTGCAGGATAGCCACGAGAGGTCAGCAAAGAAGCTCTTTTAAGTAGCTGGTGTTCCAGATTGTTTTTTATGCATATTTTCTGTTTTCTGAACATTCTCCATTCTTGACAGTTGGACAATTGAATAAACATTATCAATGATGTCAAGGCACCTTGTTTTCACAAGGGTATAACATTTTTTTTAATGTTGCATTTGAATCTTTAAATTGAATAACCTGTGGTATTTGTGTTTGATGCCCCGCTTATCTCATGATTTGAAAAGTTGGTGTGCAGTATTTGAAAGAAAAGGTACAATTTAGTCAGTGAAGTTGTTAGAAAACTTAACTTTAGCTTCAACACAGACAAATTGCTTAGGTTTGAAGGACATGATCAAACTTATCAGTATAAGACGTGTAGAAGTCAAAAAGTTTTTTTTTTTGGGTAGAGAGAAAAGCTAATGTTTGTATCGATGATGGTGCTGAAAATGTTGCGTCCTGTACTGTTTAGGGTGAATGAATAATGAGGCAGAAGGCAAAAGGCTATAGATGAGGATATAGGCGGAAGGGAAAGGCTGTAGATGAGGATATATAAGCTTCTCAAAGTGCTTGTTAAAGCATGTTATCGTTTCTGTTGACCCTAATATTCTATGAAGAAATATTATTGTTGAAATAAATTCCAGTAGAAGAAAGGGTTGGTGTTGCTTCGAAGGTGATCAATTACTATTTGCGCCTTCATTTGTTTGTCTTTAGACAAAAGTATTTGTTCGTATTGAAAATAGTATTGCACTTGACATGAATAATTAGTTTTATATTTTGAATTATTAGTCAATCTTAAAAACAATCAGCGATTTAATTACCTGAAGTTAAGTGCTTATGTCATACACATAAATGTGTTCCTACACGTAGAATTTTCTATTGAAGTCACATTTATGTGTTCTAAAGTTAGTTTTCTTAAAAACAATCAGCGATTTAATTACCTGAAGTTAAGTGCTTATGTCATACACATAAATGTGTTCCTACACGTAGAATTTTCTATTGACGTCACATTTATGTGTTCTAAAATTAGTTTAGTTAATTAAGTAAAAAAAGTTTTAAAACTGTCAATAGTTTTATGACTAAAAACTAATAACTTGTGTCAAATTGATACACAAAATTAACAATCTCATTTATTTTATTTTAAAAATGCTATTTATTGCTTGTCATTTACTTATAGGGTGACATAAGAAATATACATCCGTTAGACTTTTTCCTTGTAATCTATTTCAGATTTTTTCCTAATAATTTAGTCGATCAAAAATAATATACAACTCCATAACTCACTTTATTTAAAAAGAAAAAAACAACAAATCAAATAATCAAAAGATAAAAGACTTGTTTAATGAATATAACTTATTATTAAATCATTACTTTGGTGCAAATACACGAAGATCAGCAATGAGTTTAATTGTCATCTTCATTCTCAATGGGTTAAGAATTAATTAATTCAATGATTTTTTTTATTTTTTTTTTGCATTTTTTAGTTTTAACAAAGAATTCTTTCTTAAGCATGCTCCAACTATATCTATCAACTATTATATACATATATTGTATTATAAGATTTATGATTATATAATTATTTTTATAATTTTTTGGTCAAAGTGCGGATATAACTACTGAGCCTAGTTGTCAACTAAATTATTGTGAATATCAGTGGGGATTTTTGTTCAGAAATTACTCATTAATCAATGATACTATGAGACTATATAAGCATTTTTTTTAGAGTATATAGTATAATTATTTAGTGGGGTATGAATGTAAAGGGATATATATTTGTAATTATTTTGCTTTATGGAGTATTTGTCTAGTTTCCTCTATTATTTGTCGCAGTACATATGTGATATTCCTTGATTTTTAAAATCTTGAACCAACTTTATATCATCACACTTCACACTATTATTATTTGTTTTACATAATTAACTAGATTCTTAGAAGGAAAAAAAATGTTTGTATTTGAAGTTGATACAAAAAAATTTACAACTCATTCTATTTACTAGGCTTCAAACTTTAGAGGTCCAAAAATAATTGGCTTTGAAACAAATTTAAAATTTACACTCATTCTATTTATAGGACTTCAAACTTAAGAGGTCCAAAAAAGTTGACTTTGAAGCAAATTTAATATTTCTTTTCCATTTTGGGATAAATTTCAAAATAAATAAATAAATTTTATTTTACCTAATAAATATATTGATTGATTGATTTTCAGGCTACAAAGTGTTTTTTCTTTTAAAAAATACTTGCATGGTTAATCAAGCTGGTTTCTTGCCTTTTACAGGCCCTTGTATAGCCCGTGGAGGGTTATAAGCCCCGTAGAAGCTCATGTAGAGTGCCCCTCAACAACTCAGTTAATCTGAGCTTTCACTAGCATCTTCATGAACTGTGAAGTGTTGTAAGGTTCGTGAAAGGCTTTCATGAATGGTCTTCGTTAGCTTTTTAAGTCAGGTTATTTAAGTTTTTTCTACTCTATTAATTCCCATTCTATGTTAATAAAACTCACCTTATTCTTGCTTTTTTGAACAAAGAGGTAATGAATGGGGAAATGATTGAAACAACAAAAATTTAAGGCTATCAACCCTAATATAATAGCTTGAACTTATTCAAAAATAGCTATTTGGGATCAAATGTAAGGGTCAAAAAATATACACCAGTAGACTGACCAAGTTGCATGGTAAAATTTATCTACTTAGGTTTCCAGCAACTTAGGTGAAATCATCTTACCAACCTTGCATGTTATGCACCATAAAAGAGTTAATAGTATAAAATTTAACGACATCATGAACTCGGGGGATCACAAAACCCTAATATCATTTCTCATTAATTCAAAATCCGTTCAATTGACATTGTTTACTTGCTTTCTACTAAGATTAAAGACATTGTCTGTTACCCAAAAATTTCCTCTTTTCGGAGATAATTCAGCTATTAGCATAAATAATTACAATTGAGCTAAGACTATGTCATATTCCCTGTAAAATCGACTCTAACCTTGATTAGGTTCTATATATAAAAAACGATCACTTTATACTTCTATTTGAATGTGCAATTTGGGTGTATCAATAAGACATATCCATTGAGCACCTCCGAGAAAGAAGTGAAAGTGAGAAGCAAAAAGAGAATGAGAGACACGAGGGGAGCAATGGATGGCGTATTAACGGTTCTAGATAAAGGGTGCCCATGCAGGGCACACCTTTGTTTTGGCCTTTCCTGCAAAGGATTTGATATAGACTGAAACGAGAGGAACTCTCTGTATAACATTCCGCAAAATGGATGTAACATACTACATAATGTATTATGTTGGTATTCATTTTAATCATCTTACATATTTGAACGTTTTATATATATATATATATATATATATATATATATATATATTGTTATAAAAAACGAACTAGAATACACATTAATACGTTTTTTGAAGATAGTTGGAGTCTTCCCACGAGCAATCAGAAGAATAAACAACAACTCTGTCTTTGGGATTCAACTAAGTCACAAAACAAGTAGCATTCAAGAATGTTGCCCTTCTATTCTTGAATTGGTGATTTCACCTTTTGATTAATGTCTCACAGGTGTTTTTCAAAGAGAAAGTAGTTTTTGAATGCTATATCTTTTCAACCAAAAGAAACTCAATTTATAGGACAAATGTTTTTGCAAGAAAAAAACTTTAATTAAATTGTATTTATTATAGGATCATGAATTAAAAGAAAAATTTTCTTTCAAAAAACCTATAACGTAGAATTAAAAAAGCTTCTTGCAAAAATTTGATAACGTAGAATTAAAACAAATGAAGGTTACAAATCACATTCATGTATTTTGTTAAACTTTTTCAACGGATGAATTTGTTTCAAAATTAATTGAAACACTAAATCTTACTATCCCCCACTTGTTTCAAGAAAATTTATCTTTCAAAAATCCAAAAAATATTTTGAGACATTAATCTAGCAACATGCATCAATAATGGTGTCTTTTGGACTTGAACCATTAGCTAGTGAAGCTTTTCTTAGTCATTGACTGCTCAATGAACAAATATTGAACTAAGTGGCTCATAGAATGAAGTTATGAAAATACTCCATGCATATCACTATGTTTCGGTAAAAATCAAATTCCTTTGATATGTTACGACCATGTATCATGAATCGTTTTAGCCAAGTGCTTTAAGATTTCCCTGTTAAAATCTTATTGAGGCGGCCTCCACTTCACACTTAGTGCAGTGAATTCATCAAGAGTAACTTTGCATACTCCGACCAAATAGTCTATGAACTTCATTAAGAGAAATTAATCTCATCTCCTTTACAACAAAGTATCTGTAAATCTATCAAAAGTATTCCTACACACTCCAATCAAAACCAATTTGTAGACTTATTAAGAGAATATAATATTATCCTACTCTTCAGTAGGAAACAAAAGAAGAAATTTATCAAGAGTTTTCTTACTAACTCCAACCGAGATTGGTCTTATAAATTTATCAAGAGAAAATAATCTCAATCATGCACATCTGCTTATTTCATTTTATTTTGAAAATGAGAATCTTGTTGATGTGTTTCACAATTGTAACTTTATTTGTTTTTCCCTTTGAATCCAAGATTACATCATTAGGTAGGGTTACCATAAAGTACAATTACCTTACAATAGGCTTTATTCCCATACCATTACAAGTTTCCACCACTAACTCTTCACCTAACCCTTTAGACATAGGATCCACTAAATTAAATCTGGACTTCACATATTGAAGCGATATCACGACTTCCTCCAATAATGTCCTCACATGATTGTGTTTGAGACGAACTTGCGTTGATTTGCCATTCTAACAATCACTTGAAGCCTGAAATATAGCAACTTGATTATCAGAATAGATAGTTAAATATGGTATTGACTTACTCCACAAAGGAATATCTATCAACATAAATCGTAGCCAATCAACTTCTTCTCCAGCAGAAGACAAAGCTATAAATTCTGACTCCATGGTTGAGTGAGTAATACATGTCTGCTTCTTTGATTTCCTAGAGATTGCTAGTCCAGCCAACGTGAAAATCCAAGCAGTAATAGATTTAGAGTCATTCAGATCAAAAGTCCAAGTAGCATTGCTATAGCCTTCAAGAACAACTGGAAATGTAGAATAGCGTAGGCCAACATTAATTATACCCTTAAGATATCTCAAAACACGAATTAAGGAATTCCAATGTTCAACTCCAAGATTACTAGTAAACTTGATCAAAGTTTGTACTGTGTAATCAATATCCGGTCTGGTAAAATGCATGACATACATAAAACTCCCAACAATCTAAGAATATGTCAGCTGATCGAGAACATTTACAGTTCTGCATTAGTTTGATGCTAGGATCAAATGGTGTAGGAGCGGGTTTGTCGTCAAAGTGACCAAACCTCTGTAGAACTTTCTCAATATAACTTGATTGAGTAAGAGTCAAGCCATTCACTGATCTCATTATTTTAATGCCCAAAATTACATTATCCTTTCCAAGTTTTTTCATTTCAAATTGAGAAGATAGAAACAATTTTATTTCTTTGACTCTTTCAATATTAGTTTCAAATATCTAACATATCATCTACATAAAGACATATTATAACACCAGATGTGTTTTAAAATTTACTAAATATGCAAATGTCACCACCATTGATGAGTAGCCATTAGAAATCATTACTCGTCTAAATTTCTTATTCCATTATTTTGGAGCTTGTTTTAATCCATAAAGAAATTTAAGAAGCTTAAAAATTTTGTGTTCTTGACCAGGTGCGACAAATCCTTCTGGTTGTTTAATGTAGACTTCTTCAT